ATTCTCAACAAGCATAATTGGCGGACCGGCGGCAGAGGTTGATGTAGAAGGGTGGTGACGGACGACGGAGGTTAGGGTAGAAAGCGAGGATACCTGCTGAAGAGCGGTGCAGCAGCACGCCAAGGCGGGGGGCCGACTACGGTGCCATCGGCTGGTCAGGTCCGGCGGGGCCAGCGGGGCCGGCTGCAGGAAAGTATGGAAGTTGTGGGAAAGGTCCGCCTTGAAACGCACTGGGAGAAAGGGAGGAGGAAATGCGGGGCGACACCAGAGGCAGGCAGTGGAAACGGAGGTTATGACAAGTAGAGAGCAACGAGTGAGAAGGGAAGGTTGAAGATTGTAGGGACACAGAGTAGCGATTGTAGTTCCTGAGGGACGAGATTTTCACCTGCGTCTGCGAGCTCCACGATGGACGGCACATTGCCACGGCGGGCAGCCGCAGCACGGGCGCGCTCGCGGGCCAGCAAACGGTCGAAGACGAACTGTACCGCCGAAAAGAGCTTCACAAGGCGAGCGCGCGCGGCAGAAGGCCTAGGCCGAACCTGGACAAATCCGTCAGACGCAGACTGACGCTTCTCATTGAGAATGATGCTGAGAACCGGGTTCCTGGTGAAAGAGGACTCTTGACGAGCAAACCCCTCAGGATAGATGCGAAAGTCTCGCATCATAACGAGGGCGGCAGGGCACAACTTGTCCATTGTGACGGTGAAGCGAACGTTGCCCTGCTCGTCGTGGTCGAAGGTGACGCGCTCGCGTGTGAAGCGCTCGGTGGCGGGGATGTCGTGCTCGCGATAGAAGAGGTTGATCGCCGAGATGATGTGCGCCGGCGGGTCGTCCAGGCGGGCGAAGCGGTCGGAGTCCGTGAGGGGGAACACGAGCTGCTCGGGGCCGTACGTGACCCAACCTCCCAAGGGAGGTGTAATACGAAGGAAGTCCTGAGGACGACCCCCGATCGAGTAGTGGTCGCCGTGAGGGGAAACCCCTCCGGAGCCCAGTGGCGGTGCAGCTGCTGGAACGAGACAGAGCCTGGGAGGTACAAACGGCAAAAGTCGCGGATGCTCACCCCCCTGACGTCTGTGGTGTGGGCAGGGACGTACACACGCATCCACGGATACTCGGGGCGAGCCATCAAAGCAGCACGGACTGCATTGGCAGCCAAGGCGGCAGAGGGAAAACCGTCGACAAAGTCGGAGCTGAGGAGGAACGTCATAGAGCCCTCGTAGGCGGAGGATCCGGTGGATACAGGGGGGCGGGAGGCGGGGGTGACGTAAACGACAATGTCCTGTGAAGGGAGGAAGCAAAAGGAGGGGTAAGAACGAAGGAGGTGAAAAGGAGACACGCGCACTGCAGGAAGGGGGGTAAGGGATGACCGTTTCTTGGTAACTCTGCCGGTCAAGCAAAAACCTTCCCTTGAGCCTGTGTGAACAAACTTCTTAAAACTGTCACCCGAACTCAATTTCAGAAGTCTCGTAGAAGGCATGGGCGCCCGGGGGTATACCTTCCGGGCACCTTAACAGTAATATAGTAAATCAAAGCGGCAACGTCACGTACGTCGATTGTACGGCGTACGATCGACCCGGAATAGTATAGTAGTATAGTAGCTCAAACGAACAACTAAAAACCTAACCTATTATGTAAATCTACCTGCTTCGCACCCGTACCCACCCTAAACCCCCAAACTAACCCTTTCCGTCCAAGGCTGGTAATCTTATACTATCGGTACTCCTTGAGCTTTAATACTAGTACCATAGTCCACCCGTCAACGTGAAGGCCTATCCTGGACTCGGAGGTCGCAGAGTCGCGGTGAACGTCGCGAACGAAAGTCGCGGAAAGTCGCGGAAAGTCGCGTAACGTTGCGGAGCATTGCAAGAATCTAAACACAAAACTTGCTTGAAACATGTTTCCGAAAGCTTAGTAAGATCTTGTGAAAGTCGCGAAGATCGCGAAACAAAGTCGCGGAGCAGTCGCGTAAAGTCGCGAAGAATCGCAGAAAGTTGCGCAACGTCGCGGGCAACTCTGGCAACCTCTGGGTCCAGGATAGGCCTACGTGATGATTCCAAATAAATAAATAATTACATGCGTTCGGAAAGTCTGAAATTTGGATCACCCATTCGGAAAGTGAATTTCCGGAAAGTTCAAATAACCCCGAAATGATCCTAGGAAGCCGTAAAACAGCCAAAACCAGCCAAAAGCTCCCTTTTGAGTGAGACCATAGGGCATTCGGATTTTGGTCGGAATCAGAATAAAAATTTCACTTTCTTGGTCGGATTGTTGGAAAATAGTTCGAAACATAATCGTTCAGAATCATCACGTTGAACTACGGTACCGGTATTCCTGAAATGTTACGGTATGCAGTTCACCCGGCTACGCCGCTACAACCTATAACTTAGGGTAGTGTGCAACGGCTAGTAGGGCGCTCCGAATTCAAATCTGGCGCCATGGCTGCCGCGAGTAGCGGGAGGTATAGTATCTCCCTCATTCGGGCACCATTTGTCCGGTGCTTGAAGGCTCCCCGCAAAGCTCTCATGGCACCAACACAGCCTTGCCGGATGCTAGTACCGCTCCCTGCGCAACGTCACGATGCCTCAGGATGCTGAAACCAAGTAGATTGGCGAAGGTGCCCGCGATGCGCCAAGCAATGTAAAGGTGCTAACTTGAAGGGGCTTGGGGCGGCGCATAAAAGGTCGTGCGATAGGAAGGAGGCATTGCAGGTCCAACAATTCCAAGGGCATGGAGTTAATGGAGCCCGCATGCCATTCCCACCCCCGCGGATTGAGAATGGGCCGCGACCGAGGTTGACCTCGAGGAGGAGCTTCTTCCCGGCTTTGGGACGCGCCAAATTCGCATCCCACAAGCCGCTCGTGGCGATCTAGCTAGAGCCCTTCTCTTACCGCTTAAGAGGATAGTGGCCGATCACACCGACGAGGGAGCATGGGCCATCCTTCTCCTTCTCCTTGGGGCACTGGTGCGGGGGGGCAAGGCTAGACTGCGCAACCTCAAGGAGCGATGCCGCCGCTTCGAGAGCGGGGATTGGGAGGGCCTGCTGGACGATCACCACGAAGACGAGGATCTTCTTGCGGAGCGGTTTGAGGAGGGGGAGCATGGGGCTGCCGCGGGTGAGCCCACCACTGAGGAGGTGCAGGCGCGCAGGATCCGCCTTAGTCTTCGGCTTGAACGGGCGGGTGAGCTTAGCCGTGCAGCTAGAGCTTTGGAGTCGAGCAGACCGGCTCCCGTTACGGAGGAGACTGTTCAAACCCTTAGACAGTTGCATCCTGCAGCGCCGTCCCCGATTCCTGATTGGGTAGCTACTTTTAAGCCCGTCGATTCCTGCCTTCTTAGCCCCGAGATTCTTCATGCCGCCCTGGCATCAGCGCCTAGTCTATCTGCTGGTGGGCCGTCGGGGTTGGTGTACGAGCACTATCGTGACATTCTGGGGGATTCGCCGGCCACGTTTGCCGTTTTCCATTCGGTCTGTTGCCTTATCGCACGGGGTTTGGTGCCCCTACGTGCGCGCGCCGCGCTTAGTAGCTCTCGGCTTTTGGCTATGGCCAAGCGGGTTGAGGGGGGGCCGGATGGGGTCAGACCGTTGGCAGTGGGAGAGGTCTTGCATCGGCTCGTAGCTCGGGCGGTGCGCCTGCAGTATAGAGAGCGCTTTCGTGAGTTTTCTCTCCGCTTCAGTATGGGGTGGCGACGCCGGGGGGATGTGAGGCGGTTGTAGCTGGTATCCGGGCTTGCTTAGATTTGGAGCCGGAGACGCTGGTTCTGCAGGTCGACTTGGCCAACGCGTTCAACGAGGTTGATCGTGTAGCCATGTTTGATGAGCTCCGGTTGCACTTCCTGGAGCTCCTCCCTTTTTTCCGCTGCTTTTATGGGGAGCCGTCCCGGTTGCTACTTAGACGGGATAGCGGGGATTGGGAGTTGTTGCAGTCCAGCACGGGGTCACGGCACGGGGACCCTTTAGCCGGGTTTCTGTTTGCCCTAGCCTACCACTGCCCCCTTTCCGCCACGTGCGCAGCCTTTCCGGATGTCCAACTCCCTTCTTACGCTGACGATACTCACATCGTCAACGCGCCAGTGCGAGCCGCAGACACTTTCGCGCATCTGCAGGGCGGCCTAGCCACGCTGAGCCTACGGGTGAAGCTGGCAAAGTGCGCGGTCTTTTCGACCGCCGAGCTTCCCCCCGCCTTCCCATCCCCCCCGAGTTCCGGCGCCCCCCCCACAGCATCGTAGGTCTTGGCGTCCCCATCGGTTCGGCCGCCCAC